CCGTCCTTCATAAATGCTCAAGACCCACCTGAGCAACAGTTAAACTGTCTCAAAAATCCACGTGCAGGGATATAACCCAGTGCTAGATAGAGCACTTGGCTGGCACGCAGAAGGCCCAGGGTCAATTCCCAGCACCAGAAGGGGAGTCAGCAAACTGCCACTGCTTCCTGGGAACACTGAAACAGTTGAATTAGACACATTCTCTGAGGCCAAGCATAGTGGGGATGCCCAAGATCCCTACATTCAGGGTTCAAGTCCAGTCAGTACCTCTTAACAGGACCTTGTTCTCAGAAACAGAGAAAGAACACAACTGGCAAGCTTCCACATTTCAGAATTAGCAAGTCATCTCAAGATAACAGAATAAAACTAAAAGTTCTGCTGGCAGTTAAACAGTACAGCATAAAGACAAATGCATTTATTTCTTCCAAAGTTTTTTTTCAATAGCTGTCACAACTTTTAAAGTCAAAATTCAAAATACTACAGTGACATTTGTAAGAAAGCTAGTTACAAAATCTGAAAAGAAACCAGAACACCAGTGACATTAGTTAAGTCTTTTTCTAGGGAAATGGTTGCTCACCATCAATTATACAGACTGAATAATGCTTATCTGAAATTCGTGGGACCAGAAATGTTTCAAAACACAAAAGTATTTCATGTGTCATATACACCTTTATAATACACAACCAGAAATCCATTTTTATACAGTAAAATTTTTGTTGTCCAAGCATTCTGACCACAACCCATCTGTGTATGAGGTAGAATGCCACTCTTTTATTAATGGTGTCAAGTTAGCACAAGTTTGGATTTTGTAGAGATTAGGGATTGCTTAATCTGTATATAGTCCCAAATGTAAAACATCAACTAATTTAAAGTCAGGTTAAATTCAATGTTTATTTTTCTGTATTTCAATTTAACTTAATACACACACACAGTCCCCCCTTTTGTTATGGTAACTGATTTGAAATTGCATGCCTTTTGGATGGTAGTAAAAAAAACAAAAAATAAAACCACCACCACGTTGTATATATCTTATTTTTTTATTTTTATCATTTTTTATTTTAATTTTAAATAGCTTGTTTTACATGTCAATCCCAGTTCCCTCTCCCTCCCCTGTATATGTCTTATTTTTGCTCTCCCTCTCTATACACATACCACACACCATACACTCCTACCTGTCAAAGCAGGTTCAATTACTGCATTTATACTACATTCAATTTGTCACCATTCATGACATACATCAAAGTCAATTATTTCATTTAGGGATCTCGAGTTTTCTTATTCAATTTATAGTTAGCCCCAAAGGATATAACCCAGTAAGGGTAGGGTATGTCTCACCTGCAATCTGCTCTTCAGTCAGTTGGTCAGCCTACAGAGAGATCAGAAAGGTGGGTTAATGACTTACAAGTATGTAGGTCAGCAGTCACAGAAACAAGTTTTAACACTTAAGGTTCATGATGTGCTATGAGCTGCATTCAGTTCTATGATCCTAGAACACAATGGGTAGGCAGAATGTGTCCATATTGGTTTAACCTTACAGCTAAGCAAGCCTGGCCCCAAGATTATGCCAAATACCTCAGAATGACTTGAAAACTTTTAAAAACCTAAAACATATATACACAATAAGAATATATCTAGAAATATTAGAACATTTAAGGTTCTTATTTTAAGCAAGAAAAACCTATATAAAACCAGTTTCCTTTTTCAATTAGACACGCCCCCCCCCCATTTTGGGGACAGGTTTACTTTATGTGTATGCAGCCTTGGCTGTCCTGGAACTAGTTCTGCAGACCAGATTGGCCTCGACTAAGATCTGCCTGCCTCTGGCTCCGCAGTGCTGACATGCACCATCTGGTACAGACTACCCAAATTTAAAATCTAATTACTAAAAATTGCCATCCAATGATTTAAGAATCTCAAACTCAAAAACCACTACCATAAATGGTTAAACACAACATCCTGTCACAAAATGTATTTCCCAAACCTAATGGAGGAAGAGGTGAGAAGCACCAGGCACTTTTACTACTTACCTGACTGACAGGCAAATGCAAAGAACCTAGGACTCTAAACAAAACACACAGGCTTCTTGTTGTTACAGCCTCCAGCTGTAAATATTCCACTGCTCAAATATATGCACGTCTAACACCTGGTATGTGGTCCTGGGAGTCACTGCCAAACTACTGCTAATTTAAAGTCCCACCAAGAAGCCAGGCTATGGTGGTGCATGGCCTTAATCTCAGTGCTTGAGAGGCAGAGGTAGGAGATCTCTGAGTTCTGGTCAGTCTGGTCTACTTAGTGAGACCCTGTCTGGAAAAAAACATAAATAAAAATTCCTTCATGGGGTTAACTCATGATTACTCCATTATCTTGTTGGGGGAAGAAAACAGCCTGATCCACCATGCTTTAAGTGAACATATCCACGGAGAAGGGTTGAGCCTTTGTATGGAATGGCCTCACATTTCTCTAGGGCACAGCATAAGGATTTGAAAGGGAATCCAAAAGACAAATTTTCCCCCTAAGCAATTTTGATTTGATTCATGGCAGCATGGTCATTAGTTGAAGGCCAGGCTAGGCTACTCAGCAAGATCTTAATTTCAAAAGCAACATTCAATTTAACCACAATATAAATTGAGTTAATTTATTTCTCCTTAAAAAACAAAACAAGGAAGAGCTAGGGATGTAGGCTCATCAATATAGTGTTTGCCAAGCAGGTTAGGTCCTGGGTTCAGTGCCTAGTATTAAGGAGAGAAAAAAAGTGTGTGTGTGTGGGGGGGGTAATGGAGTTACTTGACTTAAAATTGAAATGCCATCAATTATAAGATTCTAAGATTTTAAAAAAATGTATTTCCCTCAAAGTACCAATCCTTCACCACTTGGTTCTATAAGCTATGGACGTAACTCAACCTCTCACAGGGAATTTCATCTACAACACCAACCATATAGCTAATGATTAGCTATCCATGCATATAAATTAACCAAACAACTCACAATTTCCATACAGGAGAGCCTTTTCCAGCTAAACTCACTATGCTCCACACTGACTTTAAGCAATGAAAATTTACTTGCATAAACTGAAACCAAAAAGTACGAGTAGCACCCTAGAAACAAAATGAGGCATGTGAAGTCAACCGAAATTATTTTAAGCCTAAAAATGTTAAGCTTAAATGTGTAACAGGCATTGTAGTATGTGGAAATCGGAAGGAATGCATGCTATGAATTAGTGCAGGAAAGCAGCCAGTGACTACACGATTTTATTTGCAATGCATTGGGTGGGGGGGTATGTGCACACATAAAAGATAAGGTCTCAGGGAGACAACACTAGCTACAAATCAATCTTCTAATAATCTTACAAAGCCAAAACTTATGGGACCAAACCAGTCCAGCTCAGCTGTTCCCTGTCTCCTGGCAAACAATCTTAGGATACAGCACAAAAATCAACTTCAAGGAATGAACCAGGCACACAGAAACTAAGTTTCTCAGATAACTTGAAAAACTCTCAACTTTGCTTCCAAGGTTTCAGGAAGAGTTATCTTTGAGTTTAAGGCTTTAAAATAAACTTACCAATAAGTTCTAGAATAAAAACTCCTAAATATCAAGAGCTTACTGGCACTCAGTTTTTTCAACTACTCCACCATCTATGGAGAGCAGCATTTTTTTTAGAACCAAAATTATACTTTTGGGAAAATACAAGCTCATTAACATGTGTTTATCTCAATAAGCTGAAGACTAATTCACCAGAGAGATGACTCGTTCCTAACTCTTAATTCTGCAACCACTGATGTAATCCCTGCTGTTCTTGTCATTCCAGAGATTTCCAAGAGACTTTCAGGTTCCACCCCAACCTACTGAACTAGATCCTGCATCTTGGGTTATCACTGTAGACATTTATCACGAAACTAATCTGCATTACAAAGTCACCTGAATTGAACGCATTATGTACACTTAAGCATTTTCTAAATACTACTCAAAAAGGCTGGGAAGTGGTTTACAATTTTAAAAAATCTAGCACACTTAGCTGTATAAATGTGTGATTCCATGTATGGGCTTTAAACAGAACACAAAGGCTACATCTTCATTACTGTTCATTTCCCCAAATGCTACTTACACAACAACAAAAGCGTCAAATATTATTTTCTTCAATTACATAAATTATTTTACCTTCCGCAAAACCAGTCTAAGTTATTCCTGTAAGGAAAAGGGGGTCTTTATTCTGACAGATGGCACTTTATAAAGCATTCTGAGCCAAGAGAAATCAGTGGAACAAACTTCATAAAAATCAGGACCTTCAACTGAAAGCCTAAATTCTAGCTGAAGCTAGGCATTTCTAGATTATAAAGGAGGAAAAGCAAAATTTCTATTTTCTAAGTCTAATAAGATCTTTCAGTTTAGTGAAACTTAAATACACCCAGAACATTTTCTACCTCTTCACATCTTTTATTATCCTTTTATTATTCAATAAAAATATTCCAATAAAAATACATTGACTAGATGTATTTTTGTTTCTATCAGAGTCCTCAGAATCTTATAAATTATGAAGTAACCAGAACAGTTTTCAATTTAACAAAAACCCTCAATGTACCAATGATGCATGTAACTATAAAAACTTAAAAAAAACTTACTGGGGAAAAGGACCACTGTTAAGATATCAATTATAATTTTCCAATAAAAATTTAAATCCTATCATGCTAAAAAAATTTATTACAATTCCGAATGTTAATTACATGCATATAATTTACATCTATTTCTCCGTACAGAGAACAAATTCAGTCAGCATATTAAAATTCACAAGTTATCAAAACACAAAGAATTCACCAAACTTGAATGCTAGCTCTCTCCAAGGTGAACTCTCCCCACACCCTAACAGGATGGAGGTTTCACTTGGCAAGAACCGGCAACTAGTGTTTAAGATGTCACCTTGCCTCCTGGACACCCATTGCTGTAACCACTTGGCAGAGAGAGTAAAGTATTGCAAATTAATCGCCCTCATTAATTTTTTTCTACAGGAAACAGGAGGCTCCAGTCGTATTTTTTTTAAAAATCCTTTCTAAAAATCGCCTGCTCCTCTCTTCCCGTATACTCTTTTACTGCACGGTCCCTGACAGCCATTATTGTCGAAAAGAACTAAGATCAGATGGCAACTTCGACGTCGAAACACCCGTCATTTTCAAGGAAAACGCCGCGTGTGGCCGAGGTGAGCAGGAGTGCACCTGAGCACTCAAGAATTTAGCGACCCGCCCCTTAATTGCTACTTTTTTCAACACTTTCACCAGGTTGCCTTGGCTGTGGGCGGAAAACGCCTTTGAGCCCCTAACTGAAGTTGGCTGCTTTCGCTTTACGAGCTGTGTTATTTGGAGAAAGCGCTCGACTTCAGGAGGAAAAAAAAAAAACTTGTTTTCTTCGACGGTAAAAAAAAAAAAATTAAACATTCAGTCTGGTGCTGGAAGCCAGCAGCAGATGGAGTAGAACAAGCCGCACCGCGGGCGGAGGGGGGGGTGAGCTGCTGGGGTCCCCTCCCCCGCCCAGCCCCGCAGCGCCGCGGGCCGCCCAGACCTCCGCAGTCCTGCAGGTGCCAGCGCAGCAGCTGGGGCGCGAGCCGGGCCGGGCCGGGCGGCGGCTCCCGGTTCCGCGCGCCCGTCCGCCCCACCCCCCAGGGGCTGCACCCCGCACGGGCTCGACCCACACACCTCGCCCCCGACCCGGCCCGGCCCGCCCGGCGGGGGATGCGGGCTAACGGGCGGCCGCTCGCCCCGGGGGCCCCGCGCTCCCCCGCCCCGCCCTCCCCCACCCTCCGCGCATGGCGGCCGGGGCGGACAAAGGCGCTTCCTGGCGCCCGCGCACGGCGGCGGCCGTTGGCGGTTTGAAACCGCCCCCCCCATCCCCCGGGGCTGCCCTTTCGAGCCGCTCGCACTCCGGGACGGACCACACCAACCCCGCACCACCACCACCCCGCAGCCCCGACGCATCCTGCCCGGGCCAAGCCCTGCAGCGGGTCCCCAGCCCCCGACTCAGCAGGGAGAACCCGAGGGGGGGGGACGACACCTGCGACACTACCGTCGCGGGGGCCTCCCGGCCTCTTCTGCGCCATCCTCCCGGAGAACCGGGCTCGCCGAGGGTGTCACGGAGGGGAGGGTCCCCCCTCTTTCCAGTCAATCGACTTCAGCATCTGTTCTTCCCTCCCGCCCCACCGGCAGCTCGGCTACGCACTCACCATGCTGCAAGGGCTACCGGTTTCCGAGACGAGACCACACAACCACTCGGCTCGCCCGCTCCACTCGGACTAGTTCTCTTCCCCGGCCCCCGGCGCCTCATAAACACCTCCCTCCGCCAGATCCCTCCGCCTCACGCCAGATAACGGAACACAGCGAACTAGTCCCGGCCGGCTCCCCTTCCCCCTCCCCGGGACTCGCCGGGAGAGCCCCCTCTCTCCTCAGTCACTCGGCAGAGCGGGACGGGGACAAAGGGGAGCAGGGTGACGGGTGACGTAGGTGAGGTTCGTTCCCAGGCAGGCCGTTGCAAGGCCGGCGGAGTCGCGCCCGGGGTGTGTGGGGTGGGAGGGGGGGAGTGAGAGGCACTACTTTGCGGCGCGGAGGAGCACCGCGGCGGCGGCAGCGGGGGGCGCGGCGGCAGTCGTTGAGCTAGCTCCTGATTGGCTGGTTTGTACCTGCAATGCGTCACTCGCCCTCGCTGATCGGAACGCAGTGAGGCTTCTGCCGTTGCTGCTCCTGGCCGGCCGCGCCGTCCTGGCAAGTTCGCCAGGCGGCAGCGTGGACGGCGGGCCGGCTTTGCGCTCGGCCCGCACCTTCCCGCCCCGTATGGAGGGGTCGACGGACACAAGCTAAAGCCAGTGGATAAATCAATAAACCTGAAGGGCTCCTCCCCGCCCCCCAGTAGACACCCACCCGGCGCCCGACTCGTCAGGGTTTGCTGCATCGTGGAAGCGGCGTCTTCCGTCCCACGGTGCAGAACCCATGCAGCTCAGCTGACGGGCTAATCAGTAAGGGGCTTCCGTTGTTGCTTCTTCCACTTGGCTTCCCTGGCCCAGCAGTAATTTATCAGAGAACCACTCGGACCCCCGGTATCTGAGAGCGTGTGCTGCGGGTCCCCCCAGGTAGCCAGCCCCCTTCAAATGAGAAGCCCAAAGTAGACAGCTCCGGAAAGGGTGGCGGAAGTTGAAGAGGAAATAAGGGTCTAACACTCAAAATACAGTGGCCAGAGAAGATTGATGACCCAAGGACGGCCCTGAAAGAAATTCCCAGTAAACACACACACGCACACACGCAGACCCCTCGAAACCTAGAGAACATTAAAAAAAAAAAAAAAAAAAGCAAGCCACGAAGAAACCTCACCTACTGAAAAGAAGAGGCCTGCCTTCACAATCACTTCCCATCCAGCAAGAACATCTCAGATGCTCACAGCTATCTGCACTCACTTTGAGAGCTGCAACTGAATTTAACCTCCTTTCCCTTCCAAACTAAACACTCCCTCACTCCTTTAAACATATTTTTTTAACTGAAGCCAGAGTTCGGCTCTCTTTCAATCATGCAAACCAGACATTAAGTGGCCTGCAAATGAGCTTTGACAACCTGAGACCCTTTCAAACAAACGTCCCCTCAAAAAAAAAAAGCCAACTCAGATTTCTGTTTCTATTGTCCTTGCTAATGATATTGGGAGGAAGGAGAGCTAATTAACCTTATCCTAAATGAAATAAAGATCATTACGTGAGACTATTATTTTAAAATGGCCGCCTCTGGGGTCACCATTCCAGTGCGCTGTATTCTGGTAACTTCCAAGCTTTCCCAAGATACACCCAGGAATTTGTCCCTGATTCCTCCCCAGATCTTCAGACAGAAGACATACTAATGTTTCTTTTTTTTTTTTCTTTCAGCTGACTCACTAAAAATATTCTCTCTTTACACAGCACTCCATTAGCATGCGGTGATTTTACATATGAAATTTTTAGTGGTGGGAAATTGAATGACAAAATGAATAATCACATCCTCTAGGGAATGGATTTTAAGAGGATGGGTGCATAATGTATAATAAATCTAATATACAGGAGTGTGCTTAGAGAGGCTGGGGGGCACCGAGGTGCTTGTTAGCAAGTATATTGGAATAGTTTTTTTAAAAATAAAGGAACCGGGCAGTGTTGGTGCACGCCTTTCATCTCAGCACTCAGGAGACAGAGGCAGGTGGATCTCTGTGAGTTTGAGGCCAGCCTGCTCTACAAAGTGAGTTCCAGGACAGCCAGGGCGGTTATACAAAGAAACCCTGTCAGAATAAAAAAAAAAAAAAAAAGGATACAGGAAAGAAGCTAGGTAGATTTTGGTAAAGCCTATCTTTCGTAACCTTCCTTGCCAACCTCTCAAGAAGAGAAAGAAAATAAAAGTCAAGGGTTACATTTAAAGCCATTGCGGTTTATGTGTACTTGAGACTGTTCCAAGTCAATTTATTTATAGAGCGCTTGTCTCCCGAAACATGACATACAGCGCTGCCTAACGCTGGCAGTAGTCAGCTGAGAAGCAATGACCACCCTGTCGGAACCCTGGCCGTATCTTTTCTGTCTGGTTCCAATGGTGACATCTTAAGTTCCCTACCATTGTCCATCTTGGGGAAAATGAGAATGTACTTCCTCCCTCCACCGCCTCTTCCTCATTTGCAGAATTGAGATAATACAAGTCTTATCTTCGGACAACTTCCTTGCTATGGCTTCTCTTTTCTAGCCAGTTTTTCTAATGAACAGGGGCAGAAGAACAATCATAATGTCCTATGATGGGCTGGGTGGTGGTGGCGTGCGCCTTTAATCCCAGCACTCGGGAGTCAGAGGCATGCATATCGCTGTGAGTTGGAGACCAGCCTGGTCTACAAGAGCTAGTTCCAGGACAGCCTCCAAAGCCACAGAGAAACCCTCTCTCAGGAAAACAAAACAAACAAACAAACGATGTCCTGTGATGACTTATGGGTTCCTCAACAAATAGAAAAATTTTTTTTTGTTTTTACGAGACAGGGTTTCTTTGTATTGTTTTGGAGACTATCGGTCCAGCCCGGCCTCGAACTCACAGAGATCCGCCTGCCTCTGCCTCCCGAGTGCTGGGATTAAAGGCGTGAGCCACCACTGCCCGGCCAAATAGAAAATTTTAAGTCCCAAATTTTGCAGGGCATTGATCCTATGCAACTCAACTTGTCTTTTATGCATCTAGACTATGTACTAGGTATTTAACCTTGAAGGAACAGAAATCACTTTCTTCTGTAGTTCAGAGGAGACTAGGAGCCCTTTAACGAGGTAAAAGACGGTTGACGTGACATATTTGTTAGCTTTCCATCAGTATGACAAAATACCTCTCAGAAGGAAGAAGGAGCCATAGCTCCTGCTTCTGGGGCTTCTCAGTCTCTTGGCTCTGTTGTTTCTGGGCCTCTGGGTGGGGAGAATATCCTGGAAGCAGCAGGAGCCAGAGCAAAGCTACTCTTGGCAGCTATGAAGCAAAGAGAACTTGCTTTTATGATCAAGCCACTCCCCCAAACCCATAATCCACGGAGCCATGAATGGATTAATGTATTCATGAGGTCAGAGCCCTCGTGTTCCAATCGCCGCCAAAAGGTCTCAACTCTGAGCAACATTGCCTGGAAACCAAGCCTTCCGCACTCCAGTTGTTAATGGCATACTCATGGTCCCATTCAGAGCTGGAGAGGAGACTCAGCAGTTGAGTTTTAGCTGCTCTTTCAGGACCAGAGTTCAGTTCCCAGCACCCACATTGGGCAGCTCACAGCTGCCTGCCACTCCAAGTCCAGAGAATCCAGTGCCCTCTTCTGGCCTCCGCAGGCACAGATGCTCATATTTGTGAAAGAGTACGCACACACACAAAAACCATCACTTTGTCTGCTAACCTTCAAATTAGTTTCTAATAAAACAAGATTGCTAGACATGGCTGTGTACACTTTTTTTTTTTTGAGACAGGGGTCTCACTACATAGCTCTTCTGTCCTGGAACTCACCCTGTAGACCAGGATGACCTCAGACTCACAGAAATCCGCCTGCCTCTGCCTCCCTAGTGCTGAAGTGCTGGAATCAAAGGTGTGCACCAACACACCCGCCCTTCCTAGGGTTTTCTTCTGTCTTTCTGTGAAATTGTTTATGCTATGTTTAAATTGGGTTTTTAATTGTTTTTGTCTCTTGCCTTATTTAGAGAATATATTAGCATCATGAAATTAAGAATCAGAGCGGCTAATCACCAGATAATTAAGCATAAACAAATTGTGCTTTTGTTCTCAGCACGGTTGTGTGGAACAGGACTGATTTTGTTATGTCACTGGCAGCACAGAAGGCTGCATGGAGATGTGAATTTCTGCAAAAGTACCTCAGATGTTTGACTCATTTTTCTTTGAGTTGGCTTGGTTATTGGATACTTTAAGATCAACAGGTAAAACTGGGGATGTCGGTCCTCGAGACTTGAAGGTCAGCATTATTGGAGACGGCTCTCTCCTGACTCACCCTTTTCCATTCGCTTTGATTACCCAGCCAACCTTTCTAGGATCCCCTCTTGGAACTTGGGGGAAGATGGCTGTCTGCTCTGAAAGACTTTAAATCTTCCAACTAAATGGCCTTACATGGAGGGAAGATGTGTTTTGACTCCAGGGTTTATTCCACAGTCTCTTGACCCCATTGCTTTTGGAATTGTGGAGAAGCAATATGTCATGACCGTGAGAGTTTATGGCCAAGGATATCTGCTCACCTCATGTTGGCCAGATGACACAGAAACACAGAAAGGAAGGCGCTAGGTCCCAACGTCCCTCTCTGAATTGTTTCTGGAAGCTTTTATTTATTTTAAGCATTCAACACGGATCATATTTTACAAGGGTATGTCTCTTTAGACCGTGTCTTTCTTATTGTATTTTTCTTATTTATTTGTTTATTTTTGGTTGTTTTCTTTTTGTTTTTTTAAGAGAAGGTATCACTATGTAGTTCTGGCTGTCTTGAAACTCAACACTGTGGATCAGGCTAGTCTCAAATTCATAAAAACCCAGCTACCTCTGTCTTCTGAATGCTGGGATTAAAGATTTGCCCTTTTTGGTTTTAATTCTTTTAATCCAGTCAATTTTCTCTCCTTTGTGTATTTTCTATTTATGATATTGCTATTTCTGCCTTCATGCATGCTAGGCAAACTGAGCCACACCCCTAACCCCCACCAGTATATTTCTGAAATATTCAATATAGTTTACCTGTAAAATACCTATATTCTAGGTTCGTCTGTTCATTTCCTTACAGCACCACTGGGCTTGTTCCTCTATTCCTTGTATCTCTGATAACAGAATATAGTAGTGAAGACGTGTCAAGACTCAAGTTGAAGACTCGGGGGAAATACTTCACAGGTACTAGTTATCTTTCTACATTGTATGGTCTAAAGAGCGTATGAGAACATTGTTCTGCTAGCAGTGGTGGTAAGTTAAGATGACAGACCCCATCACTGGGAATACTTTCTACTTTCAGCTCTAATAAACGGTTTGTGGGGCAACACTCTGCCCCGGAATAAATACCTGGTGTTCTCCTCATAACCTTCACTTACGAGTTTATTGTCCCATAACCACTCTTGTCTAAACCAATAATTACACTGTGGGGTGCAAAATAGAGTTCTTCTATTGTTGAATCAGTCTATATGTGTATTCTTGTCAGATAGGAAGTATAAATTAGGTTTGAAAAAGTAGTCTTACTGCTGGGAGTCAAACTGAAATCCTGAGTTCATGCAAAATTTGTAGATCCCACTAAAATAAGCTATTATATGTTATATCACATTTACATATATATATATTAATAAGCTATCAGTGAATCCAAAAGCTGAGTATTTCTATATATACTATATGCAAAATGAGGGAACGGACACCTACAAGATATAAAGACAAACAAGAACACCAGACCCTTCCGTACAGACAGAGGTAAAGCCGGGCTTTATTAGAGGTCATGGTTGGAAGGAGGGGAAGGTAGCACACACCTAAATCCCTAGCTGAGGCAGGAGAATCAAGACTTCAAGGCTAGCCTGGGCTATGTAGTGAGTCTGAGTCCAGGCAGGAACCCCATCTCCAAAAGAAAAAGAATGTAGGTTACGATTCCAATTTGCAAATAAGCAGTAAATGGTCTTCTATAGAGAGATCCCTTGAGTTGTTTTCTTGAATAAAACATGGCCTAACCCAGCCTCTGGGTGAAGTAGCCTGTATATTGGTATTGGAATGTTCTGTTCTCCTGGCATCCACGTAACAGATCCAATGTAATAGCTGGGTATTGATGTGATCAGAAGAAAGGTTATCTGAAACATCTTGGAAGGGAGAGAATTACTTTCCACTGAAGAGAGCCATGGTAAACTTGAATTACTTGGGGGTTTAAGAAAAGAGGAGGAGTCTGGGGTTTGAAGAGAAGACTTAAATGTATGCCAGACAGTCTCCAGGCCTCCCTCACCCTCTGAGTCAAGGGGCCAGGCCCCCTTAAGACATTAGCTTGACTTGAGGTCTTGTACTAGTCTAGGCTGACTCATTCCTGAGCCAAAACACATTCAAGAGTACATACTTGAACTATGTGTATTTTCCTACAGTATGATTGAAGCAGCTTAAAACCCTGATGACAATAAACTTCAAAGGCCAGGCTATGGCTCAATTTAATTTGGATACCGAGGCCTTCTGTTGGAGACTACTTTAAAGGTCTTTGAAGTAGCTGGGGGCATGGGGGTAGGCGGTGGGGTGGCACAAGCTGGCAATGCCAGCTGTCCAGGAGGCTGAGAGAAGGTCATGACCTGAAGGTTGAGGCCAACCTGGTCTACATAGCCAGTTCTAGGTCAGCCAGGGCTAAATAAGGAGATCCTCCAGAGGAAGAAAGAAAACTAATTTTTAAAAATTGAGATAAAATTTAAAATTTGAAGGTTGGAACATCATAGACTGGACAGGGTATTGTCATTAGCAGCAGGGACGCACTTCTTCTGAAACTGACATTCAGTGATGACTCTCAGACAGCAGGACTTTGCCCCTAACACTCTAGAGCCTACGTACGACGCCCAAAGACAGCAACACAAAAGGAACTTTCCCAGAGAGGGGTAGGATCTCTCCAGACATTAACTTTTCTAGCCCTTCAGACAACAGCTTTAAAATGTTAAAGTATACTGGTTGACCTTGAGGGGGTTGAGAAACGGCCTCCCTAGGACCTTCCTAGCCCCAGCACTGGGAACACCCCACCCAGGCACTAATTCCCTTTGTAGTGTTAGCATTTGTGCAGTGCAGCACTCGGGGAAGTGTTGGGGGCACAGCTCTCCCGCAGGCTGCCTCTCTCTGCTCTAGGTAATTTTCTAAGTTGAAAACGCAGAGTCCTCCCCTCCACCTCCGCCTCAGAGGGCAGCAGATTGGTAGGTGAGCAGTGTGCAGTGATCTAATGCCCTGTCAGTCTGTTACTATGCAACCAAAGTGGAGGTCAGTTATTATTCCCCGCAGTGACCGCAGCATCTCTCAAGCCGCTCACCGCAGTCTGTTTTTAAAGGGAGCCAGAATTATCATTCCAGTGATAAACTACCATTCAGACAGACATCCCGCTACGATCCACTGGAGTGCGGGTCTTAAGAGGCTATGCTTTCTGTCTCAGTGTTTATTAAAGAGAGGGAAGACAGATCAGAGAACAAATTCAACATTGCGCATCGCAGATGCCAGGCACAACAGAGTAATTTCCCAATATTAATATATGGGCTCCATAACCCACAGGGCAAAACCATGTTTTATTCAAGAAAACAACAAATCAAGGAATGTCTCAATAGAAAGGCATTTACAGCTCATTTGGAAATTGGATTCATCATCTTTAATAAAGGCTGCTTATGCCCATGATGAAGGAGTTCTGAATAAACAGGACTGAAAGCGATGATAAATTAACCTTTCAGCCTGTGTGCCTGTGTGTGCGTGTTATTAATTTGAATGATTATTCAAACCCACTGAAGACAAATTTGTTTTACCAGTTTCCTAAATTCAATCCAATGAGCCCCAGGTTCGTATACAAAACCAACTCAGATTGTCAAGTGACAGCAAGGAACATTAATATGATGCCAGCAGGTTCTTCTTATCCAAGGGGACTTTACCAAATGTAAGTAATAATCCACGCTGTTTCCATCCAGAAATCTATTACTGAGATGTAAATTCTAAACACATGCTCAGATACTCTTCAAATGGCAATAAAATAAAAAGCTGACCCCTAGGGGAACGTGTCACACCCAGCCAGCATGCTAAAAAGAGAGGCCTAGGGCCTTGGTTAGGAAATAAGGAGCCGCGCCAGAATTTCATAGAGAAAGCAGGGTGACAAAGCTCTCCATGTAAACAATCACGGCTCATCAACATCATGGAGTCAGCGGCTGGAAAGGGGTGGAGGTCTTGAGCTCTCTATATGGCACCACCAGCTGCAAACCAACCAGGACACAGCTTAACCAAGTTCCCAGAGCAACAGGATTCCATCTCAGCAGGATGGCCGCAGGCCTCCCAGCTTCCCAGCTCCCGAACTTCCTAATGATTCGCTTTCAGTCCCCGGGATGGCAGCTTCCCCCAGGAAATCCAAAATACTTTCCTCTTGGGAACCCAAGACACCCATTCCTGTTATGTCCGCCTAACGGAAGGTATTTTTCTGCCCTAGAATCCTCGCTGTCTGGAAGGCTATGTGAGGCCACACGGGACAGATTGGAGACAGGTTTTATATATGCCAGGCACTTTGCTTCATACCGCTCTGCCTTGTTTTCTGTTGAGCAAACTGAAGGGGAGGGGAGGGGGGTGGCGATGATTCCTCAGGGGGGAATGTGGGAGGAAAGGTAAACAGTGTGTGTGAACTGCCAAGAACTGCCCAGGACCAAGAAAGGAGCACTCTCTCTGCCTCAGTCACGGGGCAAATATTTACCAAGCTGGAACTCTGCACAGCTCTGTAGGCAGCTGGCTTCCAGGACCGGGACTCACGATTACTGAGGGTTTCCCTCTCCGCTTAGCTGAGCCAGCGTAGGGAAGGAGAAAAGGGCATCACGGGCAAGCAGCCTGGGCTGGTGTGCATCCCTTGGCAACCCACAAATAGATGTTGCCTTTGAGTCTCTGAAGTTAGGTTTCCTCATCTGCAGGGAAGGATGATAAGTGTTTACCTTGCAGTGTTACTAGAAGAGTGAGAGTTAGCGAAAGTGGCTTGGCACCAAGTCACCCTCCACCACCCTGACCTCATGGTCCCAGACCTTATACAGGAGGGGACATTTGTCATCCATGCGGTCCTCTCTTTCCTCCAGGTAGTCCTGTTTCCACGTCAGCACTGTGAGATCCACGAGAGCAGGAGACATAGCTTGCCAACTTCCCGGCTCTGCATTTCCCTGGGGGGGGGGGACCAGCGGCTCCCCCCTCCCCACCCAGCTCCTGGACCATTCTGAAGTAGAAGAGAAGCCTGACTCTTTGGCTCTTTAGCTAGTTTTCCCTCTCCTCTGCTGTGTTCTCTGCTGCATCTGGTCCCCTCAGCCGTGTGGAGGGGACGAAATCAAGGCTGTGACGACAGAATGATCCTGAGCCCCAGCACCCTACAGTCCCTTCAGACCTGAGCCTCGGTGTGAGGAAGCGGACAGGCAGTTCTGAGCAGACGCTTTGACAGAACTGAGCTAGCCTGGGCCTCCTAATCCGGACACAGGCTACATGGCTTACAAATGTGGAAACGGAGGTTCTGGGTGGTTAAGATGCTCTTCCAAGTCACAGCTGGAAGGCACTTAGGCTGAGATTCAAGGGCCCCAGGCTGCTGACTCCCGCCTCCCACCCCACCCCTGCTTTAGCAGGTGGCCTCTTCAGCAGGTGGCAGGGAGCTGACTCAGAGCTCTCCATTCATTTCCACTCTGTTTTCTGCTTGCACGTTGCTTCAGCCTAATGAACAAATATCACGTTATGCATTTTTCTATGGCCCTTTCTTTCTCCCCCCTCCAGGCTGTCCTGGAACTCTCTCTGTAGACCAGGCTGGCCTCGAACTCACAGATCTGCCTGCCTCTGCGGCGGTAGGCATTTTTCACTTTGCCGACATCTACATGAGACTGGTTGCCTGCAAAGAGTCACAGCATTGCAGTCACAGATTAACAGCATGGCTTGGGGGGTGGGTTAAAAATAGAGTCAGAAATGATCTAAATCAAGGGTCCTTAAGCCAGGGTCCAAGAAAGGGAACTCTGGGGAGACTGTTGAGCCCTGAATTGTAAGTATATATGCAAATCTTCCTAGTGCAAGGGTTCACAACGTCCCCTAGATACTCAAAGAGGTTTTGGATTCCACAGGGTTAAGAACTGGACATGGTCTGGCCAAACCCAGACCTCTTACTGCCAGGCTTCCTCCTGCCTCTTGCCTGTCCTGTGAGGCAGCACAATTTGTGGTAAAGACGACCCAGGGCTAAAGGCCAGATGCCGAATCTGAGCTCTGGGTCTGGCACACGTTTTACAGACTCATGAATTATTAAAACGGCTAATTAAGTCAACCCTCACCCGAGAGTATCTGCCGTTCCCCTTGCCCGCTGAGCTCACAGCTGAAAGGCAACTTCACTCCTCTGTCCTGCGCTGAGTGCAAGGTCACTTGGCTCCTTCTCTGCTAGTCTGAGGAGTCCTGGGTGCAGATTGCTGTGTGTATACCTGCCTGCTGTGCCTCAGTGTATGCAGCTGAGAGGCTCTGACCTTTTTCTCTTCCCAGCCCGCCATGACTCAGGCAGCCCTGCAGGAAGCCCACTGTTACACTAAGCCCACACCACTTACTCTGTTGGGCCCCTTCCTCACTGGTCTATGTCAGCCACCAGTGTCCCTACATCTTCATCTCTTGCCACAAATCGCCCTCCCCACAGGACACTGTGAAGGAGTGGTCTGGAGCCAAAAAATAATCTGTGGGCATCAAGTCAGCCTGTGCTGGAAGGCCACTTGGCCTTCACCTTGCTGTCACGGGGTCACTGTGCCCAGTCCTATACTTGGGAGCACGGTGATCAGGACTTTTGCCTCCCCCCCCCCACTGCCTTCTGCACCCACACCCCACTTCCTAGTTCCACTGGGGAAACGTCATTGTTTGTGCCAAGCTAGATATATTTAAAAGCTGGATTAAACAGGAAACCTTCCTTCCTTCACTCCCCACCCCTAGTCTTTGAAACTGATCACCGTCCAAGAAGTTCTGTTGCAAAATGATGACGTAGAGCCCAAGTCTAGAACGAGAACTCAGTCACCTCATTCTCAGAGTCCCCGGCCCCAGCCCATAGCCCACAGGCAACTCTGTGCTTGGGTAAGGCACAGACTCAGCACCAGCCAAATGTGCAGTGGGATTGCTGCCCACTTTCCTAATCTTTGACGCCACGGGAGCATATCCAATCCCAACCATCCCCATGTGTGCCCAGATCCCTGCCAGGAACACCAGCAAGAGACCACAGACCTCCTCCACTGCTACACCCCAGTCACCACTGTGGTGGTTTGAAAGAAAATGGCCGTCAAAGGGAGTGGCACTATTAGGAGGTGTGGTCTTGTTGGAGGAAGTGTGTCACTGTGGGGGCGGGCTTTGAGGTCTCTTTTCTCAGGCTTCAGTCAGAGTGAAAGTCAGTTGACTTCCTGCTGCTTTCTGGTCAAAATTTAGCCAGCAGCACATCTGCCTGCACGCTGCCATGTTCCCTGTCATGAGCCTCTGAAAGTATAAGCCATCACCTCAATTAAATGTTTTCTTTGTAAGAGTGTCTCTTCACAGCAAGAAAAAACCCCAACTAAGACACCGCCCCAAGTGGAGGGTGGCAGCAATCATAGCACACAGGAAACACAGAGGTCTGGCAGGGCCCAGGTGTCAGGGGACAGGGAGTAGATAGTTGGAGTTTACCCTGGAGAAATGAGATAGGACCACAAGGAAGTCAAGATTCCATTGTCCCATTAGACTTCATTTACAGGGCACAAATACAAAAATAACAAGAGTTTCCTGATAGCAGCCAGGTGGGGCTGTGACATGCACGTATAGTCACAGGCTTAGGAGACTGAGGCAGGGATAGCAGAGGTTCAATGCCGTGCTCATGCTGTATAGTGACTCTGTGGCCAAGCTGGGCTACAGACATGGGACGGTCCAAAGCAGCAGCACCAGCAGCAACAGAGAACTCAAGATGCCAATGACAGAACTCTAAAGTTCATGCGTTACGTTGCCCGTGGGAGGCCTGCATGACCACTGTGCCGCCCCTGAAGACACCCTGCCTCCCAAATTTTGGGCATAACTCAAACCTGCAAAACATTTTGAAGAATTTAAAGAATCAGAGAGTAATCTAGTGGTTATAGCCACCACTCCTTACCACATCCACAGTCTTGCACAAACACAGGATTCATGGTTCAGAGATGCTAATCCTACAGATTCGAGGAGAAAGACCACCGACCCAAATTATCATGACCAAACTAAACAAAGCAAGCTTTTTAAAAATGAGTATGCACTGGCTGTCTCTCTCTAAATGTGGGGCGTAAGACAGCAGCATTGGACATGGATAAGATAAGGGTTTTTACAGCTCAGGAGTAGGGGCTTTCCAGATGGGTGACTGGGCAGGCAAATAGGTGAGGGTTACAGAAGCGGAGCATAAGCACAGCAAGGTGGTCATAACAACATCCTGAAAAAAAGACATCGTTGCAGGGTGGTCATAGCAAGGTGGTCATGACAAGGTGGTCATAGAAAGGTGGTCATGACAAGGTGGTTATAACAACATCCTGAAAAAAAGACATCGTTGCAGGGTGGTCATAGCAAGGTGGTCATGGCAAGGTGGTCATGGCAAGGTGGTCATGACAAGGTGGTCATAACAAACTTTTTTAAATGAAGGCACAGTTATTATTTCCTGGAGTAGGCAGTACAGAACAATTCGTAGTTAAGGTTACAGGTGGGGCACAGCCCAATCCTTGGGAAACAAATTTAATAATAAACAGGAATGAGTCTAGTTTGTCTTTGCTATAAGGTGGTTTTCAAGCCTGAGATGGAGACAGGGTGGTTGATCAGAGGCTTGGAAATTCTGGATTTTTGTTGTTGTCCTTTTAAAGTGTGATTTAACTATAACTTGCCTCCCCCGTCCTACTGAAAAAGTCATTCCCCTTTTTATTTGCCATTTAAAAAAATCACAAAAGGTAAAAAATAGATAATTTTTTTAAAGTCACTTTTGTCAGAACAGCCAAGGTTAAAACAAATTTTGTGCCATCCTATCAGGACTCTTGGAGAAGAGGCTGCAGCCTCACACTTTGGTTATAAACCTAGCGTTAACCACTGGGAGCTGTGTACTATTTTTCTCTCCCTCACATCTTTAATTCATGGCTGTAGCTGAATATTTATCCTAAAAAGACTTTTAAGAGGTTGATTGATCTGATGGGCACTGGCCTGGATCAGATCCCATAATGGATAACACTGTTTTTGTTTTAACATGGGCGAACAGTCCTGTTCCTCAATATGAAGGCTTGCTAGATTGAAGCCACTTCTCAGGTGGGTTTCTGAGGTTGCCGGGGCAGAGCCTGCAGCCTGTTTGTACTGATAACACCCCACAAAGAGAACTGGGGGCTTTTTGATTCTGAATTTGTGTTTTAAACATCATCTATATTTGGGACCGCAAGATGGCTCAGAGGTAAAGAGTTTGCCAACAAGCCTGATGCCCTGAGTTCAATTCCTTTTTTTTTCTCTCTAAAGAAAAACAGGAATTGTGGGTTGTTTCCCTAAACATATAAAGAATTAAATTATAGCCTGAACCCCACAGAGCCAACATTGGTTTCCCTTCTCCTTTCATGGAAGGCAGAAATGAATCTGGCCTTGGAGGGCCTCTTCCTTCGGTCCCTCGGCTAATAAAATCAAGGCTACTCTTGAAATTACATTAAATCATTGAGTCCCCATCAATTTAGAAGCCCTTTCTTTTTTGTTTTTCCAAGACAAGGTTTCTCTGTGTAGCCATGGCTGTCCTGGAATGAGTTCTGCAGACCAGGCTGGTCTTGAACTCACACAGATCCTCCTGCCTCTGCCTCCCGAGTGCTGGGATTAAAGGCCTGTGCCACCACCACCCAGCAAGCCACAGTTTCTTTAAGGTGAAAATAATCCCTGAAAAATTCCTTTTAGGCACCTCAGAGGACTTCAGGCTCCACAGAGAGACTGAAATTCTGTTTTTCTTTTTTTTTTTTAATCTTTCTTATTTTTTATTTTTTGTCATAGGAACCTCTCTCTCTCTCTCTCTCTCTCTCTCTCTCTCTCTCTCTCCCTCCCTCCATCCCTCCCTCCCTCCCTCCCCTCCCTCTTCTCTACTTCTTTTTGGGTAGACTAGAACAAGATGAGCTCACATCATAAATTTGAGTGATTTCCTTCTAAGCCACAGGAAGCATTTCTGGAAATTGTTGTCATCAGTCTTCAGCTCTGTCTCTGTTAGGTCTCTGTGAAATAAGGAGACTCTTAGAGAGGGCAGTGACTGAGCAAGGCCAGGGCAAAGGTGGCTGAACAGGCATCTGTGCTCATTTCCCAGGATGTCACAATGCTCCCTTCCCATCACCTCATGTCCAGAACTCTTCCTGGGAACTAAGGAAACAAAATGCTATTGGCCAGTCAACCCACCAATCATGATTTTTCAAGTGAGAATTAAATGTATAAAATTGCACCCCAGTACTTATAATTCTAATAATCTTACAGTCCTTAGTTTTCAAAGTCAGAATAAGAAAGCCATATTACCTAGATTTATTTGTTTGTGGGCTCTTTTGGGGGGTGTTCTATGTGTGTGTGAGGCATGGGTGTGGGGGGTCTGAGAACCATTTCAAGAGTCAGTTCAGTCCTCTCCTCTGTGGATTTGAGCTCAAGTTCAGGTCATATAAGCTAGGCTGCCTCACTGGTCTATTTATTATTATTACTGTTTATTATTATTATTATTATTATTATTATTATCCTTGTTGTTATTGTTATTTTGAGACAGGGTCTATGTAGCCCTAGCTCTACTGGAAATCACTATGGAGACCAGACTGGCCTCAAACTTGTGAGTGAACCTTCCTGCCTCTGCCTTCCAAGTACTGGGATTATAGGTGTGCATTACAACTATAATCCCAGCACTAGGATTTAAAAACAATGGTTTCACAAGAAAAGGTCATCTCAGAAAACTGTGAAAAGAAACATCACAAACTTTGCTGCCATCACAGCAGGTAGGCATCTGGAACCACACCCATTCACTAGCTATGCAAGCCTTCCTGTGTCTCTAACCTCAATGTCTCAAAGGCGAAATGAATAAATAAGACCCAAGCCCCCATGGGGCAGGGCAAGGAGTAACTGAAATGAATTATGGAAAAGGCTTGGCATCGTGTCTGCCACATAGTAAATGCTCAGGAGGTTCAGTCATTATTAATAGTGATGTGGCATTAATAATACACGAGAAAAGTGACCCTTTGTCCCAGCAAAGCAACTGGTGCCCCAGGCTGGATTTCTACCTGAGCAAAGGTAAGATGGGAAAGAGTTCTTATGTTCAGTTTTGTGTATGGACGATACTCTTCTTTGAAACATCTCAAATGACATTTTTGAAAAATTGCTATCTTCAGAGAGAGAAGGGACAGAGAGGAAAGAATGTAAACAATTTCAAGAATAAAACTTTGTTACAGAATGAGAATGTTTTAGGCTCACTATTGATGCCATGAGTTAATCTGGACTCATCCTCTCAGTTGGGATTGATGCTGTGGCTCTAACCAATAAGGATTGTCATAGGGAGTGATTGACAAGGAGAAGACAGGCAGTGAGGATTGTCATAGGGAGTGACTGACAAGGACAGACAGTGAGGATTGTCATAGGGAGTGATTGACAAGGACAGGCAGTGAGAATTGTCATAGGGAGTGACTGACAAGGAGAGGACAGGCAGTGAGGATTGTCATAGGTCTGAAAAAGCTCAGGACTCTGCAATGCCCATTGGACTGGAAGTATTTTATTCTTCTCTTGTCCCCACTCCTGCTCCTATCCCTGGCAAGGACCAGAGCAGATGACAGTCAGTGACTCATCCTGAATGGGGACAATGTCCCTGGTGAAACAACAGTCCTTGTTTTTACTCTAAGGCATTCACATTTCTTGTAGCTTTGAAGCTATATTTTCATTCTCTTAGGAGAGTGGGTAGCCTTCATGGCCCAGGGGAAAGCATGTTCAAGTTCAGATCACCTAAGATGGCCCACGTGCTGTCAACCAGAGCCAGTGGAAGATGCCTAACAGGTTTGCTTATATTCCTCAGTCAACAGCAGATCCAATCTGTCCCTACTCAGGCAGGAGAAGAGAATGCAAAATTGCTTTATCAGGCTGGCTAGGATCCGAATGACAAGATGCTCCAGACTGGGATGAAGTCTGAGCAACTCTACTAGCAACTGGGTAACAGGATCCAGAAGATGGATGTGACATTAACGGACACAGGGAGATGTTGCCCTTGCAGAAGTGGCAAGAGCAGGAAGTCAAACCTGTGTGGCCTGTTGGGCACAGTGAAATGCCATTTTAAGAGGGAGGGTGGAACACATACACACACACACACACACACACACACACACAGAGAGAGAGAGAGAGAGAGAGAGAGAGAGAGAGAGAGAGAGACCCTGACCTAGCTGACCAAGGGAACACCCATCAGAACAGGAAACAGGAATGCCAATCTGTGAAACCTCCATTAATCGTTTCCCTGCCCTTAGAGCAGAGATTTCAATTACCTTAATGGATACCAAGGCAGTCACAGTAGGAAGAAAGGATTTCAGGCTGATCTCCTGTTGTTTCCTCCCACAATGTACAAGGGAAATGGTTCAAGGGGAAGTCTAGATGAGAATTAACCTAAAAATAAGTAGAACCAAGTTTTGTTTTAAAATGAGCCTTCAAGGTAATGATTCCCAAACTTGTACATTAGAGTCATTTAGGGGATATTTTTTAAACTTTCAAAGTCCAGCCTACAGATCAGACTAAGTGTGTCACAGTCGATAGAAGTGATTCCTGGACACGAGAATTTTTCAAAGCCTTCCGTTCATTGCAATGTGCAACACATTTGGAAACATTGTCAGTGGTCAACATACACAGGAGAGACAACTTAGAAATTGACAGGTTGGGTTTTACTCTAAAGGATAACAAATATAATCATATAGAAAGTATAACGTAGCCGGGAGATGCTTCAGTGAATAAAGTACTTGCCTTGTAAACATGAGGACAGATGCTCATGGCAGCCACCTGTAATCCTAGTGCTTGGGAGGCAGAGACAAAGAATGCCCCAGGAAAGTTGGCTAGCTAGACTAACTGGAGTATGTGACCTTCAGGTTCAGTGAGAGACCCTGTCTCAAAAAGTAAGGTGAAGAGGGATCCAGGAAGACACCCAAAACCCATTTTGGGCCTCCATCTGCATATACACATACATGAAGGCTCACACACATGGGAAAACACATCATACATGTATGCATATTGCACACACACACACACAAAAGGACAAGAGGACATGCAACACCATGCGTGTTCAAGGATGTTGTATATCTTTAACATTAGTACTCAGGATGCTAAGGCAGCAAGATCAGGAATTTGAGATCAGAGGTGACTATATAGAAGAGTCAGAGAATAGGTAATGGAGTCAAGAAGGAAGGGAAAGGGAATAAAAAAGGGGTTGGAAAGATGGCTCAGGGGTTAAGAGCACTGGCTGTTCTTCGAGAGGACCTGGGTTCCATTCCAAGCACCCACATGGCAGCTCACAGCTGTCAGTAACCCCAGTTCCAGAGGATCTGACACCATCACACAGACATAAGTGTTGCTGGTGTTTTCTTGTCCCACCAGGTCCTGTCACCACTTTAGCCCTAAATCAGCACACAGACTTATATTAGTTATAAAGCTGTTGGCCCATGGCTAGGGCTTCTTATTGGCTAGCTCTGTCTTAATTATTAACCCATTTCTTAATTCCAGTATGTCTATGTGACCTTATCTTACCAGAGAAGGGTCCAGACTTGTTACTCCTTCCTCTGCTACACGGCATCTCAGCAAAGAAGAGAGCGATTTCCTGTTTCTCCCTGCTTATATCCTGTTTCTGCCCAGCTACCTCACTTCCTGTCTGTCTGTACAGAGCTCTAGCCCTCTATGGTTAGCTAGTGGCAAGCTCCATTCTCTGACCCCCAGACAGGCTTATTTGTAGAAGAAAGATAACACCACACATAAGTGCAGTCAAAATACCATAAAAAAGAAATGATAATTAAAACATTTATTTTTTAAAGTAGAAAATGGACTAGGATATAGGCAGAGTGCTTGCCTAGTATGCTTGAAGCCTTGGGTTCAACCAGCACTGCCTAAAACCAAGATTAGTGGCACATGTTTACAATTCCAAATTGTAGCACCAGAGAACAAGAGGGAGGAAGATCAGAAGTTCAAGGTAATCCTTGACTACATAGTGAGTTTTTAAATTAATTTTATGCACATTGATATTTTGCCTGAATGTACATCTGTGTGAGGGTGTCAGACCCTTGGAACTGGAGTAACAGACAGTTGTGAGCTGCCATTGTAGGTGCTTGGAATTGAACTGGGGTCTTCTGGGTGCTCTTAACAGAGTTGTCTCTCCAGTCCTGTCTCTTGTTTTTTCTTATTTGTAATTTTCAAGAGTATTAATCAATGTTCAATAAAAGTGGATGACTCTTTTTTTTAAAGCAGTAAGAGTTAAATCCCAGTAATTATCGAGCAAGTACTTTGAACTTGGTATCTGGGAATGGGGTAGACATCAATGTATATATGGAGCAATATCTAGATAGATAGATAGATAGATAGATAGATATAGATTGCTTCATATATTGTTCATATCCATGGCCTAATTTTAACTTGCATCTCTGTGCAGGCAGAGAAAATATCATCTTGTTCTTCTGCTTCCACGGTGGGAAGACAGTCTCATGACTGACTCAGCATTGCAGAGATGCCAGAGGCAGGAACCAGAGCAGAACTCAGTGCCTTAGAAATCCCAGTTGCTTGTTCCTTTTCCCCATTGTGTAGCCTGGCTGCCCCTCCCACCAAGAGCTCTGTGCTGGGGAGGATCGCCAAAGACAGCCAAACACAACAGAACCTGCAAGTGGACCGAAAAAGTTCTGTTATTAAGGAAGAAAAAGAAATCTAGAACAAACGCCAACAGTCACATCAAGGTGGGAGCCGAGGGCTTGTAGCCCTGCCCTTGAGGACTACAGCATGAATACTGGATGACCTTGATGCAAAATTTGCCTTGATATTCCACTGGGGTCATTAAAGTCGCACAAAGGGATTAAAGAAACGGAAGTCACTTTGAGTTTTTGTGCTTTGTTTATAGTCTGAAGTCTCTCTTAAGGAGGTTGTGAGGGTGACAGAATGGGTCTGTGGTCCTGGGTTCTACTTATCTGCAAGAAAAGTTCCACAAAATGGGTTAATCACAGTAGGCTAAAAGGACAAGTTACAGGTCCTGAGACAGGAGAGCAGTCTAATGCAAGCAAAGATTAAAGCTAGGAATTTACCAATTGATAGGAATCTAGGGGGATCACAGCACAGTGTAACCAAACGTGTGCATGAAATGTTAGAGCAAAACTTCCTTCTCTGCATGCTAATCTTAAAAGGAAAAAGAAGCCTGGCATGAGGGCACATACTTTTAACGCTCCGGAGTCAGAGGCAGCCAGATCTCTGTGAGTTCTAGCCCAGCCCGGTATACCTACTGAGTTCCAGAGCTATAGAGTGAGACCAAATCGAGATGTTAACAACCGCAAAATTCCCATTAAAGCCATAGGAACTACATCGACCTTTCCTTGCTTCTCAGCCACATGAACTGGGTCTACCTGTCATCCTTCTCAAATATAGACCCCAAAATGCAACCTTGATCCAACCAGTGGTGTTGAGGGAGGATCAGAACAAGGTGCTGTACGCAGCTACAAGGAACCACCTTTGGAGGCGGCAGTGAGGCACCTACGGATAGGGTCATTTAAGCTAAGGGTATACCTCGAAACACATATACTACTGCTCATGCCGGCTAGCAGGACTATATTCAGGAAAAAAAATGGAAAATAAGAAATGTTGGCAATGAAATGGAGAAACAGGAACCCTCATGAAATGGGAATGGCAGTGTAAATATAGTTAGTACAGTACAGTGACTACGTATGTCAGTTTTGTGTTTCTCAATAAATAAAACATAGACTCTCCACATATCCTGACGACTCTATTGCTGGGCGCATACTTAAAAGAGATGTAAATAGCTATTTACACAAAAACTTGCATATAAATGTTGATGGCTACGCTATACGTGATAGAGCAAACAATCTAAATGCCCATCAGTGAACTAATGGACAAAGAGTGACAATAGCCATTCAGTGGAATATTATTTAATCATAAAAAAGCAAGTACTAGTAGATGCTGAACATAGATGAACCATGAAAACACTACGTTAAGTCAAAGAGATTAGACCCACCCAGGCTCCCATATTGTGCAACTTCATTTTATTCGATATCTATAATGGGCAGAACCATAGAAACAGAAAGCCAGAGGACGAGGAGACGGAGGAATTGAGAATGACAATGTGTCATTAGTGGGGCTGAAGGAATGGCTTGGCAGTTCAGAGCACATACTGCTCTTTCAGAGGGTCCAGGTTTGGTTCTCAGCATCCATGCCAGGTGGCTCACAACCACCTGTGACTCCAGCATCTAGGGATTCAATACCCTCCTCTGGCTTCTGAATGCACCAGCATGCATATGATGCTCATACGTAGAGACACACTCACACATGCACACCAAATGAAATAAATCTCAGTGGATAGAAGAGCTCCATATAGAGCCTTAAACAAGATCACAAGTTTAAGGCCAGCCTGGAGCACATGGCCAGAGCCTGTCTCAAAATAATCAATCAATCAATCAGGCAACCAATGTCTGGACCCAGAAAGCAATGATCTGAAGCATAGCAAATTTCTCTGGACTGCACATTTCAGACTGGCTGACATGGTAAGTGTGGGTTTCATCATAATTTAAAGGGGAGAGTGGACTGCGAAGGTGACTCTATGGATAAAGGCGTTGGTTGCCAAAGCTGGCCACCTGAATTCCATCCCTGGGATCCAGGAAAGAGAAGCGACTCTTGTAAGTTGTCCTCTGACCTTCTCACACACACGCGCGCGCGCACACACACACACACACACACACACTCTCTCTCTCTCACACACACACACACACACACACGCATGTATGTATGCATGCATGCACTCACAATAAATAAATAAACACATGTACCAAAAAAAAGTTCTAAAAGATTAATTGCATTTACTACGCCAGAGTAACCTGGTTGGGCCTTTGGGGTAATAGGAACTTATTTGCTCAGCAAACGCAAACGGAGAGTTTGCGTGCCAAGTTGTGTAGCATGAAGCACATAGGGAATTAAATGCCCCGTTCCTGGCCTGAAAGAGTTAATCGATTAATGGAATAGACACAAAAATACATGATTAAAAGAAGAAGAAGAGGAGGAGGAGGAGGAGGAGGAGGAGGAGGAGGAGGAGGAGGAGGAGAAGGAGAAGAAGAAGAAGAAGAAGAAGAAGAAGAAGAAGAAGAAGAAGAAGAAGAAGAAGAAGAAGAAGAAGAAGAAGAAGAAGAAGAGGAGGAGAACGGGTTCAACTATCTATCCCAGACTAGTTTTGAACTCATAATCTTCCTGCCTTAGCCTCTGCAGTGCCAGGATTACAAGATTACAGGTGACACCATCGGGCCCAGCCCAATAGGTGATTTCAACACTGGGTGTTAAGCGAGAAGATGTAGACTCAGGGTGTTTGATCTGGAATACTCCTGGAGGATGAGGCAACACCTGAGCACATTCCTAAGCCGTGAGTA